ATTTCAGACTTTAAGTGCAAATGGTAATAGCTGTTTAAGCGGAAAATTGTATAAAAACACTAATTTTCTCAATGTAAGCATCATTAACAAAAACCAAACCAAAAAAAAAAAAGGAAAGAAAACGAAAAAAAATATATAACTCAGAAATCTTTATCACCACATAAAAAGTATATGCACCCTAAAAGCAAAAGTGGCCTAATTAATTCTACATCTTATTTCTCTTTCTCCACCTCTTGTAGCTGAAGATGTAAGACCCTGAGACTATTATTGCTTTTAGATCACTTTGTTATTGACTATTCTCTGTATGATCATTTATTTTAAAGGACTGATGTCACATTTGGTGTTATACCTGATGACATATTGTGGACATTTTCTTCCAGAAATGGCTCTTTAAGGCTGAGTGCAAGAGGTTAAGCTGTCTTACTGAGGCCAAACCTAAGATTACAGATTTTCTATCTAAATTCTTAATATCCTTATTGAACATAGTTTAACACTTATTTTGTATACTACATATTCCCATTTAACTATAAGCTGCTGCATGTTAAAATAATACCCTGAAAAATGGAAATTAAAACTATTTCTCACCTTATTAAAGACCAATCTATATTTTATAAAATTAAAATAATTTTAATGTGGGGAGAGGCATTTCCCCCTTAATCAATATATCTTAACTGGCTTTAAAAAATCATAAAGTTATAAGTGAAACTCTATGATCAAAGAAAGTATACTATCAAATCCAAAGGACCTTTTCAGTTTTTCCAATTTACTTACCAGATTTCTAACTAAACTGAATCGTAGTCATATACATTATAATAAAAAAGGAAAAATGTTTTTTAAGCTCTGATAACAAGATGATGCAGAAGAGGAACATATGAAAATAATGTCTATTCTTCTTCCATGAGCCATCTATCACAACCATCTACAAAGCAAGGCTTAGAAAGTATCTAGGCACTTGGACATTTATTACCATATTTCTCACTTCATAATCTCATGCTAAAATACCATGGTTGGGGGAAAACCATGTACACACAACAGAACCTAGAAACCTATTTGGTTTGTAAATGCTGTCTTTCTGATATTCATGGATTTAAGGCAGGCTTCCTGGATTAATTTACTCAAAGCAGAATGTGTCATTTAAAATGAGAAATATTTAATCCTTGTATTTTGAAACAAAGGGTCTATGTTAAAGTAAGTTTTGCATGTGTAACATAATAAATAAATATACTTGACACCATAATTTAATAAGACCTTCTACTTACTATAAAAAATTTAACTTCTCTTTCTGGGGTGAATAACTGTGAAATGTGGTGTTGGACCATTTTACAGTGCCTTGTAATAATGAAGTTATGCTCTTCATTACCAAGTACTGTACCTGCTGCTATTGGCAAGGAGTGGTTTATACACTGACCATGTTCCACGGCTGTTTTTAGTGTCGCTTCAGGATGTGTCGATCCTAGAGGGTTACGCACAAATCGTCGCCGGCGCCGCAAGTCATCTTCCCAGTAGTCAAGGCGCCAGAACTCACGAGGACGACTACAATGAAACAGAGAAGCCACATATGTTAGCAATTATCAAACAGCGTGGTAGCACTGAATTTCTGCATAAAGCTCTCCTTGTTTGCTCTGCCTTTTTTTCCTCTCCTTCCTCCTAATTCTCCCTCCATCTCACACTCCCCTTTCTGCAATCTTTAACTTAGGTATGTCCTTGAAAATAACAATATCACCTTCTAGTCTAAGGAACTCCTTTTCCTTTTCTTGGAAGGTGAAATGAGCACTAAATACATCATTTTGAAATGAATTGCTGACAGTGTGATCAGTTTCCCCACACTCTAGTGGCATGTGCTCTGATTTCAGCCTCATTTCAGCCTCAGCAGGGCACCTTTCTCTGTGGCTGCATTTATAAACCAGAATAGGGAAAAGGCTATTATAAATATGGTATAGCATTACCTATATTAATCAAAGTCTGTCCCCCTTCATTTTTCTTCCTAATTTGTGCCTTTTTGCACAAGGTCAGTAAATCATACCATGAATTCTTGGTCCAGAAAGTGTTAACTTTAATGAATATCTCAGTTACATGGTTATGTATGTGATAATAAAATATTACTCTGTTTAGATGTGCAGGAATTTAATTAAAATAATCTCTTAAAATATTCATTACATTTAGCCCCTGAGGCTTAGAACAACACAAGAAAATGCATTTCTTTTCCATTTACTGTTTTTAAATAAACCATTCCTGTAGAGTGAAATAGCAATCTATTTTCAAGCAAATCAGATTGGATTTCTGTTTTATGTAGTCTGTTTTTATATTTAATTAAAAACTACATGCTATATGATGTGTAATAATTGCTATATCGAAAGCATACTTTTGGAAATGTATTTTTTAAAAAAAGGTTCACTCAATTCAAGTTCTATGATATT